GGTAGAAGTATATTTTGACCCCCCCCCCAGGCTGGGTCAATTAAAATATTAATCTTTGGAAGAAGCTTAATATCAAAATGATCTAAACCTAATTTCCTGTGCCAGTTGCAGTCGGTGTATGTGAAGTTCTTCTCTGCCTATTTTGACATAAACAACAACAAAATCAATTCAGTGCTACTTAAACCATAAGGAAGGGTTTACCTCCTTTGGATAACTAGCTTCTTATTTTCTTGTGCAAATTTCTTCTAGAAATTAGTTGACTTTTAAAAGCAAAGGTACCTGGGGCTGGAGAGATGGCTCAGTGGTTAAGAGCACTTGTTCTTAGAAAGGACCAGGATTAGGTTCCCAGCATCCACATGGCAGCTAATAACCATCTGTCACTCCAGTTCCAGGGGAACCAACACCCTACCCTCTTCTGGTCTCCACAGGCCTTGCACAAATTTGGTGTACTTACATACATGCCGGTGAAGCGCTCATACACATAAAATCAAAATAAATTTTTTAAAAAGGGAAGGTAGCTGAAGAACTTGAGTGATGATGTCTATTCTCAGATGCTTTGAAAAAGTTTACTTGATCATTTGCTTAAGTATGAGTTAAATAGTAATGTGTTTTTAGAAGTCTTCCATGTCATTAACAGCAGTTTTCTATGTAGGTAATTAGTTTTCTAGGTGAGATTTTAAAACACCAGTATGGTGCCAGAGGGGTAGCTTGGTGGTAGAGCTCTTGCCTAGTATCACACAGATCTGGGTTCAAGCCCTAGCACTGGAAAAAGGAAACAAAAAAACCTCAAGCCAAATCTGGACTGTTTGTCTATACTTTATTTGCTGTCCTTAGCAATTGCTGATGTGCTTCGATAGATTATTTGAGCTGATCCTTGTCTGTCAGAGAACATACTTTACATGAGACCTGGGAGTGGTACCAAACATGCCAAGTATGTGCTTTGTAACCATGTACCCAGGCTTTCCTTGAGTTCCATCCTTAGCCATAAATGAAAAACAGGAAGAAAGAAAATACTGAACTTACATTGTGTTGATAGATTCGTAGGCTGTTTTTTGAGACAGCGTCTCACTGTGTACCCTTGGCTAGCCTGGACCTAGCTATCTAAACCAGGCTGTTCTTGAACCCTCAGCTGCCTCCCTTGTTCTGGGATTAAAGGCATGGGCTACCATGCCCAACATAGGCTCATTTTAATCTTCCCCCTTGAGCATTCTCTGGCTGCATGACCTTGATTATTCCACCAAAGCATGAAAGAGTCCAGAGTGGCAGGTGGCTAGTCACCCCTTCCTTTGCCCAGAGCTTGTAAACACTCTTAAAGCAGCAGTTGACACGTGAGAGTACTCAGTCATGGTGTTTTGCTGCAGTTTCTCTGTTTCTGCTTTTGGGAAGAGAAAAACTAATAACCAGCTAGGAACCTTAGATTGGCCTGCACATTTCTGCACAGAGAGAATTTTGGAAGGCTGTGGCTTCCTTCCCTGTTAACCCTCTTTTACTTGTTACTAAGTGTTGCCTTTTCTAGTTGACACCGAGTTGGAAATGCGGTGCATAGCCTTTTCAGATTGGCTGAGTGCTGTGTTCCTGAAGTTTCTCCATGTCCTCTTGTGACTTGGCAGCTCATTCCTTTTTGGTGCTAAGTAGGAGTGCATCATCTAGAGTATATGAAGATGGGGTAGCACTTCCTGTGCTTTTGTTCCCTGGTAATTAGCTATTTCTCTCATCTGCAACTCAGTCTGAATAATATCTTAATTCTTTTCCTCGTGTGTGGTTGGCTCCATGGGAGAGCATTCTTGGTAGATAGACTAGGGCTTTGGGGAATAGAGGTTGTTGCTCCTACACAGGCAATGTGAACCTTCCCAGCACAGCACTGCTACTTAAGGTGCTGTTAGTTGGTATTTCATAAGGAAGAGCAGTTTATGGAAGGGATTGCTGCATATCTGCAGTTTTTTCGCAAATCTTTCACCAATTTAATTTTACACAACTTTGTTTTTCCCTCAAACCGGTCACACTGTTGCTTGGTCACTTCCAACTTATTTTTTCTCCAGCCAGCAGACCCATACAGGTATGTACTTTTGAGTGATGTTTCTGTGGTGCTGTTTTGGAACAAAAGCCAAAGTAATAGCCAAAAGGTAATCATGGATTATCTTTAAAAAAATTTTTAGTTTTTTCAGTCCAACAAAATTAGATTTGAAACAGACTTTTTTCCTTGTAGCAATTAAATGACTTCATATAGAAGTCTCATACCCGTGTAAGTTGCTTCTCACTGAAACTCCTCTGTCTTCAGTAGGGCACTTTCTAACATGGTGCAGCTTGTTCAAAGGGATAAAGCAATATCATCCACAAAAATATGATCACCTTAAAGGAACAGAGGAAAGTATTTGACAGACAGTAATAAATAGCTCAGTAAAAATTAGTTACCAGAGTCTTGAGATAAATGGCAGCTGAAGAAAATGGTCTCCAAGGATTTGATTATCCTAAATGTGGAGTTAGTTATGTAGAAGCAGCTCACTCATGTTGTAATTGTGTATCTGTGCTCAAAAGTACAGAGGAAAAACCTTCAACAGCCTTGGCTGTTTCATGGACTAGGAAACCAATTATAAGAATAACTTAGTTCTTGTCTTGTCAAGGCAGTTCTTCTGAGTAAATGCCTGTAAATGCTTTCTTGTCATTAAAGTTCTACTGCTAGTAGTAGAGTTTGATGTAACTGGTCTAAGAGTGTGGTTTGAAGGCTGTTTCTTTTCCTTCTTAGATAATGAGAAAGTTAGACAGCTGCTTCTGGAGGGTGTGCCTGTGGAGTGTACACGTAGCTTTATCTGGAACCAAGATATCTGTAAGAGTGTCACAGAGAATAAAATCTCGGATCAGGTAACTAATAATGACAGGACTACTGGTCAAACCGTGAATGACAGGGGCTACTCTTTGTTCTAGAGACCCCACAAAGTGCTGATATGTTTCACAGAGCCCTCTGACTTCCTTTGATTTTTTTTCCAACAACTTACTGATTCTTGTGATATATACTGTGATTTATGTGTGTGTGTGTGTGAATGAAGAATTTCTAGAAAAAGTGCAAAGACTTCCTGAAGTGGAATATCTCATGGTTTAAATATGTTTTTATTTTTTTTAAATTTATTTATTTTTTTGGTCTTTTTTGAGAAAGGGTCTCCCTGTAGTCCCAGCTATCCTGGAACTCACTATGTAGACCAGGCTGGCCTTGAATTCACAGAGATCTGCCTTCCTCTGCCTCCCGAGTGCTGGGATTAAAGGTGTGCGCCACCACGCCCGGCTGTTTTTATCTTTTTTATTGTTTTTTTCTCCTTAAATATTCTGCCTTTAAGTTCATAATGATGGTGTTCCTACCAGAGCTGGGCATCATATTAGATGCTGGGATAGATGATAGGGCATTGAAGAAGTCTTAAGGAATGACTAGAGACCTCAGGTTGGCTTCCTATATGAAGCAGCTGATATTTGAACTTATTCGCAGGTGGGAGTCAGAGTTAGCCAGACCTCTCGGGGTGGGATCAAGGCTGGGGAAAGGATTTCAGGAAGTAAGAACAGCCTGTACAGAGGCCCAGGCCTGAACCCAGATGATGTGTTCATACATCCCCAGGTAGGTCAGAAGCTGAGAGTCAATAGTGGGGCAAGAGAGGATGCTGAAGAGATATGTAATGGCTACAGCATGAAAGGCTTCAAGACATTTTAAAGATTTGAACCGAGTATATGGGCATCATTGAAGGTTTTAAGACTGGATTTCACTCTAGTGATCAAGTGGAGGGAAGGTCAAACTGAAGATGCACATGAGGGACAGGAGAACTAGGGAGAAGATGGGGTTGGATAGCTTTAAAAAAGACCCTTCCAATACTCTAGATAAGGGCTGGCGAAATGGTTTGGTGGGACAAGGTACATGTTGCTAAGCCCATTGATCAGAGTTCTATCCTTGGGACCCACACAGAGCAAGAGGAGCCAACTACTGAAACTCCACATGTGTGCCATGGCACATACATGTCCACTCACATACACACATACACAAAATAAATAAGTGTAAAAGAAAAAAAAATGTGTATAGGACATGGTGGCAATCTGCATTGTGGCAATGTGGCTGGAGTAAAGGGGGTTCAGTACATATTTCTGGAGGACTTGTGGTTGGCTAGTTCAGCTTTAGGATCTCGGCTAAAAGAGAGCCCGAGCCATGTTGACTTGTTCACTGCTGTATTCCTGGGTTCTAGAAAACTACCTTGTACCCAAGAGGTACTCAGTAAACATTTGCATGGATGAATGAATGAGCTGTGGGATTTGTGGAATCATTCATCTAGATGAGGAGTGCAGAAGAGAATGGTGGTGAGGAAGGTGGGGTACTTTAGAGTCTGTGCACTTCCTGGGAGCAGGTGGCTGGGAGACAGGCCTCAATTCCAGGTGGGAAGTTTGGGGCTGATGGGAAAAATACTGTGGGATGAGCGATCAATACATAAATGATAGTTAAAGCTCCAGCAAAGGTCAAAAGACCAGGGCTTGAAGGGGTGTTTGTGAGGCTGCAGTTAGAGCAAAGCGAGGATATAGGGTCTTATGTGGTGCTCAGCTGAGGAACCAGTACTGCCTATGTGTCTCGGAACTCAGCCCCTGTGCCTTTCCCCTCCTGGGTATCTCTGTACAGTTGGCAAAGTCTGAAAGGATGTTGTCCACTCTGTATGTTCCACTGACAAATGATTTATTGTATCTCTTCTAAATCATTAACGCCTGATCAGGAATGTTCTTGAGAGCCAGAGTGTTTTTCCCAATTGCTCATTTTTGAGAAGTTGCTATTAATTTTTGTACCTCTTTGACTTAATGACTTAATGACAACAAATCTTAATAAAAATACAAGGGATAGAGGATCAAAGTATGATTAGTTTTGATTTATGAGATTAGCAGATTGAGCATAAAGAATTTAACTTTGGGTCTTTTAGTATATACTCTAGCCCAGACTTAGCAAATTTAAAGTAATTTGGCTTTTTCTACCAAAGCCCTTGTACACTGAAAAAATCTTTATGGAAAGGGTACTTTTTTTATTATAGTGGCTCAGCTTTCTTCATTCAGAACCTTTTGTTTTCCTTTTTAAAAGTGCATTTAACACTGGGAGTGGTGGCGAATGCCTTTAATCCCAGCACTTGGGAGGCAGAGCAGGTGGATCTCTGTGAGTTCAAGGCCAGCCTGGTCTACACAGTGAGTTCCAGGACAGCTGGAGCTACAGGGGAGAGCCTGTCTCAAAAAGACCAAAAAAAAAAAAAAAGAACATTTAACTTTATACATTTGCTCATAGGGAGACTCAATAGGATCCCCTGGAAGACAGTAGCTCTTTGTATTGATTTTTTTTTCTTCCTCTTTAGGATTTAAACCGGATGAGAAGTGAACTGCTGGTGCCTGGATCACAGCTTGTTTTAGGGCCTCATGAATCCAAGATACCTATACTTTTGATTCAGCAGCCGGGAAAATTGACTGGCGAGGACCGCCTGGGCTGGGGAAGTGGCTGGGATGTCCTCCTCCCGAAGGGCTGGGGCATGGCTTTCTGGATTCCATTTGTAAGTTACCTTTGGATTCCAGCTAATATTAGTTAACAATACTTAAAATATATGCATGATAGAAGTAAATGCTAAAAGTTTTCTAGGCTTTATGTGCATTTTAGACTCTGAGTGGGATATTTCTGTCCTTTAGAGGTACGATATCTGATATAGAATACTTTATAAGGGTAGTCCCTGGAGTCAGTCTCATGAATAAAACCTGCTGAGGGCTGACAAGATGGTTCAGCAGGTAAAGGCATTTGCTGCCAAGTCTGGTGACCTAAGTTCAATTGCTAGAACCCATAGAAAGGTGAAAAAAATGAACCGACTCACAGAATCGTCCTCTAACCGCCACACAGATGCCACGGTGTTTACACACTCATGCACACACACATGCAGGCACACACACAATCTTTTGTGGTTTTTTTTTTTTCTTTTCTGTTTAAGTATTACTTTGCTATATATTATAAAAGTTGTGTTAGTATCAGACTTAAATTTATACAGGTAATTAATTTTCAGCAGTTATGCCTCATGCAAGAAACATTCAATTAATCATTTAGGAGTAGAAATATTTTATGTCATTCCACTTATATTTTAAGAATGTTTTTGTTTGTTTTTTGCAGTAGTAGGGATCAAATGGAAGGCCTTAGGCAGGTGAGACAAGCACTCTGTCACTGAGCTGTATCCCCAGACAATTAGGGATTGTTTCAGTCCTACAGAAAAGATAAGACACCCATATAGCAAATGGCTCTATACCTTTGGCCTGCCATTCTGCTTGAGAAATTAAACATAGATTCATTGGCAGTACCCCATGTCCCTCACACCAGTCTCACCTCCCCTCCTAACACAAGTCTCACCTTCCCCTCCATTCTGGTTTTGGTGTTTGTTACCACTGTGCAGATTCTTATTCTTTTATCAAATGCTCGTATGTCAGTAAAGTACATTTGATGTTTTTAACCTATATGCCTCACTTTATGCTTTTGCAACCTGATGCATTCACTTGGTATTGAGGTTTTTCTTTGTTGATTGATGAAGTTCCATTTCATTCATTTTTACTATTGTGTAGTGTATTATGTGTTATTACTTACAGGATTATCCCACAACATACTGATCCATTTTCCTTTTGACAGCACTTAGATTATTTCTCATTTCCCCTGTACAGACAATTAAGCAATTTCATATCTCTTAGATCTATCGAGGTGCAAGAGTTGGGGGCTTAAAAGAAACTGCAGTGCATTTTCAGTATAAAAGGTCACCTAACATCCCAGGCGATTTCCCAGACTGTCTTGCTGGGGTTCTGTTTGCTGATGAGCAAGCCAAGGATCTTCTTGAAAAGTACAGAAGGTAAGGAACTGCTCTCTGTGGTCTGGCTGTGTCACGGGATGAGAAGTGCCTACTCGTGCTTCCTAGTGATTTGGGGGCGGCTTCAGGAACCCTCTGTGCAATGTGGAGCCTTCATAGGCCTTTCCTTGCATTCTGTATTACCAAGAAATAGCTAAGAAGGTCCTACTGTAGTTGGGAGATTTTTATTTTGTCTGACCTTATAGGCCCACCTGGGTTACAGACTTTCTTTTGACTGGTTGTTGACTTCAGTAATGGACATTTGAGCTGCAGACATGAGTTTCAGACACTTGCTAATAGATTCTCACTCCCCTTGTCCCCATCTCCACTCCTGTGGAAATTGTACTGTTAAAAAATTGATTTTAGAAGTAGTACCTGTTTATTAAAATTTGACAAAACTATGAAAATAGGTAAAATACCTTATAAAGCGGTACAGTTCTGCCATCCAAAGAGATAAACGTTTTTATATTTTGGTGTCTGTTCTTCTAGACTTTTTTCCTTTTCTTTCGTTGGAGGTGAGCGTATAAAGAAGTCCATATGAATGTTAGTGTATTAATGACCTTTTTGGTGCTGTGATAAAACATCATGACCAAGGCAACTTATGAAAGGAAGGGTTTATTGGGCTAACAGTTCAAATGAGAGTCCATCATGGCAATGGGAGGCATGGCAGGAGGCATCTGGGGCAGAAAGCCGAGAGTTCAAATCCTCCAGCAGGCATAAAAAACAACGAAAGACTGGAAATGGGGTAAAGCTATCAATTCTTAGAGCCCACCGCATATGACATCCTTCATCAAGTATGTACCTCCTAATCCTTCCAAACAGTACCACCAACTAGGGGACATCCTCATTCAAACCACCACCAGTTAGGAACCTGTGTTCCCACTAGATTCTAGGCTCTGGAAACACAGAAACTCTCTGTCTCTTGTTTGTTGTTGTGCCGGTGGTGTCTAGCCACAAGTGGTGCACACTAGGCCTCACTAACTTTTGTTGTCTGGTGAATGAGTGAATAATTGAACGTTATAGTTCCTTCACTGTGAGCCCCATGAGGGCTAAGCTGGGTCTCCTGCCTGTTACCGCACACACAGGACAGCAGAGGTCTGCCTGGCTTTGTCTGTTGAGTGGCAGACAGATAAATGGCTGAGAGGGTGCATTGTGACCCTGTGACCTGGTCCTGGACTGTTGGCTTCTCAGTGCTTTGCTGTATGTCCTTGTGCCTCCTGTGCTATGTAGCTGAGGTTGTCTAATTGAGAATATTTCTCATCATTTAGACTTTTATGTATGCTTTTCATAGGTACAAATTTTTCTAAATAAAAATATATCTTGAAGGCCGGGCGTGGTGGCTCATGCCTGTAGTCCCAGCACTCAAAGGCAGGCGGATCTCTGCGAGTTCAAGGCCAGCCTGGTCTACATAGTGAGTTCCAGGACAGCTGGGGTTACAGAGAGACCCTGTCTCAAAAAGACACACACACACAAAAAATAAATAAAATAAAATAAAAAGTATATATATCTTGAAATCTGCCTTTTTTATTTAATGATATATTGTGTTGAATAGTTTTTCCACATCAATAAACAGAATTTTTAAACCAAATATTGGCAGACTTTTTGGGTAGAAGGCCGAATGATAAACAGTTTTGACTTTGAGAACTTTGGTCTCCATAATAACTACTCAGCTTTGCCACCGCGGCATAAAAGCAGTCACAGATGACATAGAAACAAAAGTAAGCATGGCTAAGTTCCAACCGCAGCTGACATGTGGACACTCACATTTGAAATTCATCTAATTTTTATGTGCCATGAAATATGATTCTTTTGCTTTTTCAACCATTTTTAGCTCATGGATCATATAAAAATAGATAGCAGGCCAGATTTACCCATGAGTCCCAGCTCACCAGCTCATACACAAAATAGAACTTTGAGTGATTCCCTGAGGTTGTGGTGTGAATATACTGTATTTTATCAGTGGTCTTTAGGCTATTTCTGGTTTCTTGCCCTGTGCCCTGGGGACATCCTTCTAGGTGCATCATTTGCCTGACTCATTCATTCCTTCACTCAATACACACTTATTTAAAAGCCTACTGTTAAGTCCAACACCATTCCAGGCACTGTGGCTTCAGCATGCACAGGGTAGACAGCTATCTCTGGCTTTATGGAACCTTTATCCTTGTTCTTTTTTTTTTTAAAGCCTGTGTGTGTGTGTGTGTGTGTGTGTGTGTGTGTGTGTGTGTGTTAGCCCCAGTTGGCCTGGAACTTATTATTTAGACCAGGCTGGCCTTTCTGCCTCTGCCTCCGTCTCCCAAGTGCTGGGATTAAAGGTGTGCGCCACCATGCCCAACTTAACTTTTATTTTTTGACATTTCATACATCTATACAATGCATTGTGATCATATTCATCCCCCATTGCTCTCTCTTATTCCCCCTCCCACTCCCACTGACCCCCTTCTTCCAAGCTAGTCTTCTCCTCCTTTTATGTCTTTTTGGTGTGACTCACTGAGTTTAATTAAGGTTGCTTGTTTGAACATGGGTAGGGGGCTGTTTATTGGAGCACAGTCAACTTACCAGTAGCTCTACCACTGAAGAAAATGACTCCCCCTTCCCTGGGAACCATTACCTGCATAGCTCTTCAGAGAGGGGCAGGGCCTTTGAGCTCTTCCCACATTCATACTGGAATTTTGGCTGGCTTATCTAGTGCAGGTAGCCACAGCCTCTGTGTGTTCATGAGTGCCATACCCATGTCATATCCAAAAGACATTTCATCACATTCCTCTCCATCCTCCAGCTCTTATAATCTTCCTGCCCTCTTTTCTTTGATGTTCCCTGGGCCTTGGAGGAGGGTAATAGAGATGTTCTGTTATGTCTAAGCACTCAACAGTCACTTAGTCTCAGCACTTTGACCAGTTATGACTGTGTTAACTACTACCCACTGCAAAAAGAAGCTTCTCTGCCAAGGCTGAGAGCAATAGTAGTCTGTAACCATAAACATACATATTGAGCAGTTTGGACTGCAGGTCTGTGTAACTGAATATCAGTAGTAGATCTTCTTCCCTCCCCGATCCCTGGACCTGTGGCCTTCCCAGCCGTAGGCTTTTAACCAGGTATATAGTACCTGGCGTGTATTCTGTCCTATGGAGCAGGTCTTAAATCCAGTCAGAAAACAGTTACGCCTCTATGGCAACCACTGGGCATATCTGGCCAGGTAGATTGGCATTGTAGTTTTCAGGGTGCACAACTGGGTAAGACTGTTTGGCTTTCCTCCCCCAGCAGCCTGCATATCACCTTCGGCACCTTGAGTGCTAGCCGGCAGGGAAGAGCCTCCAGCTCAGCTCCAGCTTCATTCCTCTGGGTCTGACAACCAGAGTTGTGTCTTCAGCTGCAGTCTTACCACCTAGTGCTGTCGCCAAGGTGCCTTTATTCTTTTTTTAAGATTTTATTTTTTATTTTATGTATACGAGTGTTTTGCCTTCATGTGTGTAATTGCATCATGTACATACCTGTGGAGGGCAGAAGAAGCCACGAGATCCCCTAGAACTAGAGTTACAGTTATGAGCCCCCATGCGGGTGCTGGGAACCAAACCTGGGTCCTCTGCAAGAGCAGCCAGTGTTAACTGCTGAGCCATTTCTCTAGGCCTGTTTTTTTGTTGTTGTTGTTTTTTTATGTGTATGCATGTGTATTTGTGTGAGTGAATGCTATATGTGTGTATATTGATGGAGTGCAGAAGAGGGTGTCTGATCCCCTGGAGCTAGAATTACAGGCAGCTGTGAGCCACCTGACAGGGGTGCTGGGAACTGAACTCAGGTCCTCTGGAAGAGCAGCAAGTGCTTTTAACCACTGAACCATTCTCTCCAGCCCCAGTTCTTGATGGAAGCACATTGCTAGGCTGGTGAGGGATCCAAAAGCAGGGAGGAAGGCTAAAATACAAGGGTTGAACTCCTGATGAATAGGGAAGAGGTACTAGGTTCCAGTGCTTGGTGGAGGGGCAACATCTGACAGTTTTGGATTCAGTTTTTCTATTAACAGGACCCTGCAGTCTGAACACAGACTAGGCAGATGCAGTGGTAGTGGGGAGATTGGTGGATTCTGGATTGTTAGTGCCATCCATCTCAGTGAACAAAGAGGTGAGGTTACCTGTTAATACAAGAACTGGAGAGGGGCTGTCAGAGATGTGAAGAGAGGAGTTGCAAACAGTTTTCTAGGAGAGTGGAAGATTGAATTGACTGAAGAAATAGAAGAGATCTGTAAGAAGTATCAGAGAGCATCCAGTTGAGTTTTGTGTTTCTAAAGGAAGAGCATTCAGAAATACTGCATATTCCTGAGTCAGCTGTGTTCTGCCAATCAGGTGCCAACATGGGGCCATAGAAGAGTTGCTGTAATGAGGATGGGCTTTTCTAGGTGCAGGGAGAGGAGGACATGTGTAGGTGAAGGACTGTCACGTGCACCATTGACTCTTAAGTTCATAGAGAGGAGTAAGGGAGTAGAGGAGAGCAGTGAGGAAATAGTGTAGATGATTAGAAGGTTCCCATCATTGATGGATTGAGGGGGTGAGGGGGTTGTAAATTAGGAGGCATTGATTACTCTTGCTATCGTAAGGTAGTGCAGGTAGTGTTAGCAATGACCAAACCTAAGGTGCATGGAAGCGTGAGGGTGCTTGAGGTGGGTGTAGCAGAAGCTAAGGTACTGTAGCCAAGGTCTGTGGTGGATGATGAAGGAGATGCAGAGGCTGCTGGAAACAGTGTCTCGAGGTGGAGGGAAGGCTGTGCAGCAGGTGAAAGGGGGCATGAGGGAAGCTGATAGAGGACCTGACAACAGAGTGCAAGCTGGTGGCTTGTGGTTCAGGACAATGGGTCTAGGTGTCAAGGGAGGAGAAAGGTGGCCTGGCCTTATCTGGAGGCCACCCACCCGCCCCTGGCATGGATGGTGAGAGAGAAGCTGCTGATCCCGAGGAGGGGCTGTAGGAGCAAGCACAGACCTTGCCTAAATCCCTTTCCTGAGTTCCTTTGGAGCACTTGTCCTGCCCAGTTGTCTGTACTGAGTGAGGGAATTCCTCACACTTTCACCAACATGGATTGTCTTTTAATATTATAAACTGGTAGGTGAAAAGTGGAATCTTACCATTTCAACTTACTAACTAGTGAGGTTGGATTCTTTCAATGTGCTTTTCACCATTTTGTGTCTTTTTAAATTTGTCCATTTATTAATTTTCTTCTTTTTTCTCCTTTTTTTTTTTGGTCTTTGCCTCCGCCTCCTGTGTGCAGTGATTAAAGGCATGTGCCACCACACCCGTTTTTGCTCAGTTCTTGCTCTAGTAGTTGAGTGTGGTATTTTTGATCGGAGCCTGGCGTTTCAGAGACTGGGGACTTCCTTCATGTGGTTTTTGCCATTTCCCCAAGGCCTCAGGTTTTTGTATACAACTGGGGGTATGAGTTGGAGGGATGGCATGTGGAGGAATTCAGATCAAGCCTAGAAGGGGTCAGTATGTCACTTGCACTTGTATTCTGGTGACCCTTTTGGCCCACAAGGAAGGTTAGGGTGTGCAGCCCTAACCTTCCTTATGCTCAGGAAGAAGAGAAGTTAAATATATAAATCACTTGGAGCAGCACAGTCATTGTTTAGTAATCCATTAGTTATTGCCGTTCTTCCAGCTTTTCTTAATTATGTCAGCTTCAAGTTGAAGAGTGCTTTGTTGAAGAGTGCTTTAAAACAGTAGGCTGTTTCTGACCTAGACCTTAACTGCTACCATACTGTCATATACTGAGAGCAGAGAGAATGGATCAAACGTGAACTCCCTCTACCCCATCACCAGTGTATCTAAATAGCTGGTGTCAATCTAAATAGGAAGTTTTAGGAAAATGCTTATAGTTACTTTTTAATGGAATAAAGTTATCTTTTTTATTTTTAATGGGATGAAGTTGTGTGTGTGTGTGTGTGTGTGTGTGTGTGTGTGTGTACATGCGTGTGGTGCTGAGGATTGAACCCAAGTTGTTGTGCATGCTACATGAGAGCTCTACTACTGAGCTACACCTCAAGCCAAAGAGATTTTTTTCTCCTAAGTCCTAAGCAGAATTGGCACCTTCTTCCTTGGGATCCTGCGTTCTTACTGCTTTGCTCAGCTCCAACGAGGAACTGCTTCTGCTGCTCTAGAGTATCTTTTCTTTCAATTGTAGGAAATCATCAGTTGTCATTTCAAACATGACTTTTTATTTTGTTTATACTATATGGATCTATAAAACTGAGGTATGAAGAATATTGTGTTCCACTGCACCAAATTGTAGCATCACAAACACTGTGACTAAGGTGAGTTTTCCATTTAAGGGAGCAAGCTGGAGATTTGAATTTGAATTTGAATTTAAAAGGGTCTCCTGGCAGGGCAGGTAATCTGGGGGTGTATTTTGGTACACCCAAATACTGCATCTCTTTGGAGGGTAGAGTACACACTGGGCTCCACCTGAGAGCAGTAAAGCGGAGGCTCTAGGCTTGGAAATTGATTAGGGTTTGTTTCCATGTGAGACCCTAGGATACTGCTCACAGTAGGAAGTAAATGGGCAGGTGTGCGTGCGGCTGACTATCATTCAGCCCGAGAACACAGTCCATGAATTCTCCAGACTAGAATGACCTTGCTTTTCTGGCTCATTTATGCGTTGCTGGAAAGGTCAGTGGGTATCACTCCAGTGGCAGGCAGTTTGGAAGTATCTGGCAACGCTGAAAATTGCTGATATTCTTTGCTCTCACCACCAGGCACTTATCCTATGGATGTGTTTGGGCTTCAAGATCATTCACTACAGTATTGTAGAAGCGAAAACTTGAAAATAACCAAATTGCCTTTTTAAAAATTTTTTTATTTTTTTTAAAATTTATTTAATAACCACATACTTAGAAGAAGCATTTCATTACAACAGCATTGACATATTCAATAACAATTTTCTGAGCTAAGACAAATTGTCTTTTAATGGAGGACTGTCTATTGATCGGGGAGCATTTTTATGGTGGAATAAGATTATTTACAGCATTTTACAAAAAATGAGGGAGGTTGATGTATTATTAAGTGAAAAGAGTGGGGGTGCTGGAGAGATGGCTCAGTGGTTAAGAGCACTGGCTGCTCTTGTAAAGGACCTGGATTTCTTTCCCTGTACCCATATGACAGCTAACAACTGTTCTTAACTCCAGTTCCAGGGAATCTGATGTCCTCTTTTGGCCTCTGTGGGCATTGCACAACACAGGTGCATTTACATACATGCAGGCACAACCCTCATACACATAAAATAAAGTGAAGCAGTGGGGCTGGAGAGATGGCTCAGCGGTTAAGAACACTGGTTGTTCTTGCAGAAGACCCGGGTTCGAGTCCCAGCACCCACATGGCAGCTAAGAAGTGTCCGTAACTTCAGTTCCAGGGGATCCGACAGCCTCTTCTGACCTACTCGGGCATTGCATGACATGGGTGCACTTACCTACATGCAGGCAATACACGCATACACATAAAATAAAAATAATTTTAAAAAAAGTAAAGCAAATGTACTGTATCTAGGAAGCTACTGTTTGTGTAACAATGAGTGAAAAGAAAGAATGTGTACACAGGTACTTGTGTGGGCATAAGCTGTCTCTGGAAGGATATACTGTGGAGGGTGGCAGGGACACAAGGTCAGGAATGAGAGCAGTCTCACTGTAACCTTGACCTTAGAGCCATATAAATCCGCAGGGACAGCATTGCCCAACTGCAGGGGCACCACACACTTCCTGTTCTCAGGAATGGTACTGCGAGCCGTTGTAAATGGTAAAGCGGCCACACGGGGCTACTTTGTGGGTATATTATCTGTTAAAAGACCAAAGAAAAGTAGAGATGGTTATTCTTTTTTGTTCATTCCTCGGAAAGCCTTTTTTGCGAGTCTGTTGGTTGATGTCTTAATTCTCCACTCTTCTGATTGTTTAAATTGATTCTTTTTGATTTTTCATTAGACGCCCTCCTGCCAAAAGGCCCAATTACGTTAAGCTTGGCACGCTGGCACCCTTCCGCTGTCCTTGGGAGCAGCTGACTCAGGACTGGGAGTCCAGGGTTCAGACTCCAGAGGCATCTCCTATAGCTTCCACTCCCGGTGGTGAGAAGAGTGACCTAAGAAGACACAAGGTGCCTTGTGCTCCTGTGCCTGGGAAGATCCATCATTCATCTACTGAGGCAGGTATATCTGAAAACCAGCTCACAGAGCCAGAAGCCATGGACACAGGGTGTCAAGACCAGGCAGGGACAGAGAAGGTCCTGGAACAGGTTGCTACCGAGAACCACGTTGCTGCCACTAGTAGCCAACTCTGTGTTCTTAGGTAAGTGAAGGCAGTTTCCAGATCCATTTTGCATTGTTTTATATTGGACAGCTACAGGATGTGAAAGTTACCATCTGTGTCAAACCTAGTGGATGGCTTTCTGAAAAGGAGAGCTGTTTTCTTTGATGTTTCATGGAAGGCCCAGGCAACAGCTTAATATTTGAGGCATGATACCAGCTAATGAAATGAAAATACTGTCCTAAACCAAGGCAGTTTTTCCCTATGGCCCATTTTATTTAGCCTTTGCTCACAAAAAAGTATGTGACCCTGACATGAAGAACTTTGGTACATGGAGCGAGCTGTCTGTGCTTTCCATCAGTGAATCAGAGCTCTTCAGTTCTTAGGAGTTCCTGGATCTGGTGGGCCAGCAGCCGTTGAGTGTAGTGTGGCCTGTGGCAGCTCCTGTGCATTGAGCTCTGCCCTCCTGCCAGCTCAGCTCTGCTCGAAGTACTCTAAAGTGTGCTCTCATTTTTAAAAATGCTCCTTTTTCTTGCCTGGTTTATCTTAATTTCACATCCTTCTTTTTTCACAAAATTCTCACCTTGATTATAATCCTAAAGTCTATCTTACTTTTCCATCAATCTTATTACTTCTCTGCCCTCAGTTTCTTAAACCCTTAGTCTTTTGGTTTTGGAATGGCAAGCACATGAAAAGAAAAATATTGGTACTAAAATATAGTGTTTTAGATTTTTTAAAAATTAGAATTTTGATACTTTCCCACATACTGTATAAAAATATGAAATTAACTGTAGCAATAGCAGATTTTTCTTTTTTTTTTTTCAGATTTTTCTAATTGCATATTTTTCCTCAAATGTGTGTCTCTTACTTCATTTAGGAATAGAAAATTACTGAAGCAACTGTCTGCCTGGTGTGGGCCCAGTTCTGGGGATAGGCGGGCTCCTTGCAGAGACCAGCAAGAACTGACCACAGAGGCCTGCTTGTCTATCCTGACCCCCTTCCCCAGGGCCCTGGTGTGGGTCAGTCTGTCTCTGCTCAGGAAGGGCAGCCCCGAGCCACACACCATGATATGTGTCCCATCCAAGGAGGACTTGTTCCGGCTCAGTCAGGATCACCATTACCATGGGCCCCAGGAATCCAGACACAGTGACCCATTTAAGAGCCTGATTCTGAAAGAGAAAGAAAAGAAGAAAATGGAGAAGAGACAGAACCGAGACACTGCTTCCATGGGCCTGGCAGTGGGGGAGCTGACCACTGGTCAGGAAGCTCTGACTCGGGGGCTATGGTCAGGCCCCCTCCCTGGAATGACTTCACACTGCTCCAGAGTCCTCCTGGGCTTCATCACACAGGGAGATTTTTCCATGGCTGTTGGCTGTGGAGAAGCCCTGGGGTTTGTTAGTGTGACAGGCTTGCTGGACATGCTGTACAGTCAGCCAGCAGCCACAAGGGGCTTGGTACTGTTGCGGCCTCCTGCCTCCCTGCAGTATCGGTTTGCAAGAATTACCATTGAGGTGTGAATGCAGGTGCACAGTCTAGTTGGATCATAGCTATGTTTGCCAAGTTCCACAGTTAGAGAGTCCTGGCTCTCCCTGCCTTCTGTTTTAAAATATAGTGTGAAATGACTTGGAAAGAAGAATTAAAATGATGTAATTATGCAGGTGATGAACTGTTTACTTCATTCCAGTAACCTGGTTGTTGTCCATTTCTCTTGTCCTGGTACTGTGTCTAAATTGTGTAATCCTTATAGTTAGAGCTTTATATTGTATTCTCTTGGCCTGTGTAACTATTGCTGAACAGTATTATAAACTATATATCTTACTGTCCCTTTTTTGTTGTTCTTAGGAACAAAGAACTATGAGGGCTCCTTGAAAAATTTTACAGTTGTATGATAAGCAACAATAACTGTTGAATGATTTGTTACTAAAGAGGGGGGTTGGGGTGTAGCTCAGTGGTAGAGAGCTTGCCTAGCATGTATGAGGCCCTGGGTTTGAGACTGACATGGGTGTGTGTGTGTGTGTGTGTGAGAGAGAGAGAGAGAGGCGGAAGAGAGGCTGACTATAAATACCTAGCTTCTGCACATAAAACACAGGCTGCCTGGATTGCTGGATTTTGTACTAGAGTCAACATGGTGAACCTTGTAGCATAAAGAAATCACAGTTTGCTGATGTCTGTTTTCTGGCAAACTCAGTGTATGACAGTGCATTAGGAGTCTATGGCTAGGATCCCTTGACCATTTGGTTGTAGGCCAACATGTGGTCCTAGGAGTTACTTAGTTTTCTTAAGTTAAATAAAACTACTTTTTTGTTTCTGTAGATAATTTCTGAAAGTCATAAAGGGTCATTTCTTAAAATATGTGCTATGAAATATGTTACCTTAAAAAAAATCCAAGTCGGGTGTGGTGGTGTACGCTTTTAATCCCAGCACTGAGAGGCAGAGGCAGGCGGATCTCTGTGAATTTAAGGCCAGCCTGGTCTACATGGTGAGTTCCAGGACAACTGGGGCTACAGGGAGACCCTGTCTCAAAAAGACAAAAAAACAATCCGAGGTCAGGTTGATTTTTTTGTTTGTTTGTTTGTTTAACCTAAAGTTAAGCCATGATGGGTTAAGAAACCGTTGGTTAAGTAAAAATAAACATTGTTTATTACTACTACTACTACTACTACTACTACTACTGCTACTACTACTACTACTACAGGACTTCTGGAAGCTTCCATGTGGTAGTGTGCATTGGGAATCTCCAGAAAGTAGATAAAGAGGGCATATGTGGTTTTCTATCTTTTCGATCTTAACACTCCTTTTATAAGGAACACTGTAGGCTTAGTGTTAGGAGCATGCTTGGGACAGTGTGGCTGTACTGCATAACAGTTACCTCTTTGGGGTGACGGTGAAAACATCAGTGCGGTTGCATAGTTCACTTGATGTCTTTGAGTAGGACAGGAAAAGAATCCCCATGCTGCTCCTCAGGAAGTGTGTACTCACAATGCTCTTTCTCGCCTGAAAGGGCTTTGTGGCAGTAGGTTAGGAAAGACGCAGTGGACCTTCTGTTGGCCTCTTGAGCAAATGAAATGGCTGGTGTTTCTCCTCGAGCCATCCTCTTTCTGTGTCCAACTCTAGTAAGGTGAAGAAAAGAGTATGTTGTCTGTAAACAGTAAATGGAAATGTCACCTGATGTTCAGCTGTGCTCATTGGAACAATTTGCTTTCTAGGCTGTTTGTCACTTCATCTGTGATTTAGCACTCTAGGACAAGACAGTGGTGTATAGTCACCTAACCTCGTTCTGTATAGCACTCTGCCTGTTACCCTCATTCCTGGGAACGGGGCACATTTGCAGGCCTTCTGCTTTGAGAGCAGTAGGCCAAAGCCATGTGATGGAAGTGCTAGCCTACCAGCACTTCTCAAATGTATTCCTGGGGGCACTGGTCCCCAGAAAAAGGTCTCCTGACCAATCTGGAAGGAGGTACATCTTCCACTGCAGATTGCCACTGCAGATTTGCATAATTGAGGCTCTGTGCATCTCTGTAGGAAAGATCTGTTTTTCAGAATCCTCTATACACTTTTTTTCCCTATGCCTATTGTTCAGAGAACACCACTTTTGCAGAAAATATTTTGAAAAAGTGACAGAATCTGTAGAAAGATCCATTTCCCTCAGGAAAAACTGTTAGGATGGTCATATGCTATGCAACTGAACTGATTCCATGCTTGCTTTGATCCTGAGGTGCCTGCCAACCTGCACTAGATCTGTGCAGCTACCAAATAAGTATGACATGGCTTCTGTTCTCTTGTTGGGGGAGCAATAATTTAGGGTCCACAGAGTCAAGCAGCATCCTAAAGATTCTAAGCTGAACACTGAGATCAATTACACATGAGTTATGTAAGACACAGAATTGAACTGACTGGGTGATTTGCCTTTTTTTTTTTGAGAGGGTTCACTATGTAGCCCTGGGTGGCCTGGAACTCCGTATATGTAGACCATGTTGGGGTCTTGAACTCAGAGATCCACCAGCCTCTGCCTTCCCAGTGCTGGGATTAAAGTAGTGCACCATCACACCTGCCTTTTTTTGGAATATTTTTTAAGATGTTGAGGCTGGAGAGATGGCTCAGCAGGTAAGAACACTGACTGTTCTTGCAGAAGCCTCAGGTTTGAATCCCAGCACCCACAGGGCAGCTAACAACTGTCCATAACTCCAGTTCCAGGGGATTCGACAGCCTCTTATGTCCTCTGTGGGCATTACATGACATGGGTGCACTTACCTACATGCTGGCATTAACACTCATACACATAAAATAAAAACAATAAAGAGTATGTGGCAGGGCAAATGTGGCAAAGCAAATAAACCAAACAAAAACAACTAAAATTATGTGATGTGATAGTGTTAAGTGATTCTAGATCTGGTCAAGTTGAAATTAAACACTATCACGTCACATAACAAACAAATGTTCATCAAATGTTCCTACACACTTGTGGAGGATTATCTAAGTTAGGTTAGCCTCTGTGGGGATTACCTGATCAAGGCTAATTAAGATGGGAAGACCTGCCCACAAGTGTCGGGGGAAGGTTTGGAGGGGATACCATATCTTGGGATCCTGTATTGGTTTTTTTTTATTTTTTTATTGGGGTTTTTTTTTTTTTTTTTTTTTTTTGAGACAGGGTCTTCCTGTAGCCCCAGCTGTCCTGGAACCCACTAGGTAGACCAGACTGGCCTCAAACTCAACAGAGATCTGCCTGCCTCTGCTTCCCAAGTGCTGAGATTAAAGACGTGCCACCACACCTGGCCATTTCTTTTTTTAAAAATTTTTTTATTTTTAATTTTTTTTTTTGAGATAGGGTCTCCCTGTAGCCCCAGCTGGCCTGGAATTTGCTGTGTAGACCAGGCTGGCCTCGAACTCACAAAGATCTGCTTGCCTCTGCCTCCCTAGTGCTGAGATTAAAGGCATGTTATGGATTTTTTAAAAAATAATTCTTATTTTATGTGTACGAGTGTATTGCATGCACGTGTACACCTATGTTGTGCAGTGCCCAAGGAGGTCAGAAGGAGGTGTCGGATCCCCTAGAACTGGAGTTAGGGATGGTTGTTAGCTGCTATGTGGGTGCTGGGATATGAACAAGAAGAGCCAGTGCTCTTCTGAGCCATCTCTCCAGCTCACATTAGTACTGCTTTTATTGGAAATGGGGAGTTAGTATGTTGAGTTCCTTCTTCATGCCCTTGGGAAATAAGGCAGTGAGAATCCATGAGTTTTTACTGGTCCACTTGTGGCCAGCTTATTTGAGGCCCAGGGCTAGGTCCAGAAAGAATGGGCTAGGTTGGTCCCCATTCCAAAATTCCCAAATACCTCCAAACCCAAAATTATTTCAGTGTTGACATGATGCCAAAAGTTGGAAAGTGTTACACCTGACCCCAGGTGATGGGGCATAGTCAAACATGAGTGCACTAAAACTGTTGTAAAATGACCTTCAGGCTGTAGGTGTAAAGTATAGATGCAAAATAAATTTTATTTTTATGCAGGGGGGCGCCACAAGATTATATACAAATACAGTTTCTATGTATGTATGTATGTATCTATCATCTATCATCATCTTTTATCTATATTGATATAGATAGCTCTTTGAAGTTCCTAGAAGATAACTAAACATCTGTATTAAAGATTTTATAAGGCTGAAAAACTGACTAGAACTTCATGACTGAAAGTTGAAGATCCAGAGTCAAATTATCTTGGCTTATTTTTAGACCCCTTAAAAGCCATTCATTGCCCACCCTTGTGTCTGACCTAACATCCTTTTCACTTAGGTAAAATCTTTAAAATGTATTCTTAGCAGGACTGGTGAGATGCTGCTGGACTTGGCTGGTAAAGGTGCCTAACCAGTCTGACAATCTGAGTTCCAACTCCAGGACCCACATTGGGAAAGGAGAGAACCAACTCCTAAAAGTTGTCTTCTGGACACACACACACCGCACACACACACTGTATCAACTGTCTTGGAACTGCAATCCCAGTTCCACTGTGCTCCTGGGTAGTGCGTGCCTTCCTGGTACCACAGGGTTCTTTTCTATCTCTCACAACACTGGTTTTCAGTTGGCTCTGTGATAATCATCTGAGAGCCCAAGCCTCAGCCCAGAAATCAATCTGTTGGACCTAAGCATCCTACTACACCTGCGTTTGTCAACAGCTCCTGGAAGCCCTTATATTTCACTCCTGCTGGGGCCCATTGCTTTATGAGGGTGGGTTCTTTGGACCCTCTGACCTTGAGTAATACAGAGACCTCATAACTTTTGTTCCCTGAGCAGGCCTCGCCAGTAAAGAACTTTCTGTGACATCAACTGCCAGGGTAGGTGGGAACTTTATGAGAGCACTTGTGGTGGAATGGGCCTTCTATCTGGGACAGTCCTTGTCTTGAAAAAGAAAACAGCTTGACTCATTACAGAGTACCAAGAGAGGTGGCTTTGTTTTTGTTTTTGTTTTGCTGTTTTCCTCTCCTAGTGAAAATGCCCCCAGGTCCGTTGCTCTTAGCTTTGGCTACACACTAGTATTATCTGGAGAACTTTGAAGGCACAGTGCCTGACACCTGCTGTTGGGGCTGCCCATTTAACTTGTCAGGGCTCTGGCCTGGACTTTGGGGTGCTTAGCTAAGGGTTCCCACATTAAGAACCACTGTTCGTTTTGTTTTGTTTGAGGCAGGGTCTTGCTGTAGCCCCAGCTATCCTAGAACTTGCTATGGAGTCCAGGCTGACCTTGATCTCAGAGCGATCTGCCTCCCAAGTGCTGGGATTAAAGGTATGTGCCACCACCTTGGCTCCATTGTTCTGCCTTTAAAATGAGGTTCTGCTGTAATTTGCCAGAGATGTGACTAGTCAGTAATGGAGAAGCAGGCAGGGCACTCAGCCCCAGATAGATACAGGCTGTTGCTGAGTGAGGTACACAGCTGTCATCCATATCCCTGGCTGAGATCCTGCTGGGGCTGAACAAACTGCCAAACTTAAGTCAAAATACTTCCCTTCCCCCAATTTTTCAAAAAGTTTAAATGAAACCAAGTAGCGGTTCTGTTCTGGTAGACCCCTGCTTCCCCCAACCTGTGAGCATTCTTTTAAGGCTGCTTATAGACAGTTTCAGTCCAGTCTCGTGGTGGTCCCCTGGGCCTCACTCCATGTGCTCTGATCACACTGATCTTCCAGCTCCTTCCATAGCAGCTTGAGCCCTTGGGCCCTTTATGGCTGCACATGCCGTCCTATTTTCATGGAATGTTCTCACCCCATTGCATTCCAGCCTTCTGAGCTTGGCTTCCACATTTCTCAGGAGGCCTTCTCTGCCACCCCATCTAAAACACTCTCCTTTC